TTATGTAAAAATCTAATGCCGCCCGGGGCGATCGCTCCCTCTAGCCCTCCCCTAAATACGTCACTGCAGTAACCCACTTGTAACCTACTGTACAGCAGATCGACATCCACGACTGATCCGCTTTTTTTTTTTAATTTAAATTTTTTGTCTACCTATAATCATCTTTAGGAACAGTAAAATGTGAAATATTATTTAATCTTTATCTCTTCGAACGTGGTTTCTGAATTTCTGATAGAAAATTATTTGTTATTAATACATAATTATCTTAAACGTTATGTTTTCACGACAATTTTTCAACAACTCCAGTATCYGTTGTACCTATTTTGTATGCCATTGATTATCTACACTATCGACAAATGTCAAATTTCTGAGATATGATGATCTAAAACTTTTAGCACAACAATACAATATTATGAATTAGATACAGAACTATTAAAATCAGAATTTAAAATAATATCACAGACAATAAGTATGCATCAACAAGAAAATACAATTATGTTATAAAAATTATAAATATACTCGTAAATTCTAATAGTTTCTAGTAGGCTGTGGGAGGGAGAAGTAAATGTGAAAAACTYGAGAAAAATCTTTGTAATAATGAATAATAACAGGTATTATGGTGAACATTGACATACAGTAAGTACCTATATAAACTAAATAAAACGCTTTTGTCTTTTTTAAATGCCATGCCCCGACAAACTAGCTTTTAATTGTTATGTTTTCATGTTATAATTATATTATGTAGACGTAAAAAAAACAAAGTGTAGTAAAAATAATACTAAACAATTTTTTCTTATTTTTACAGTTTTATTTCGGTTCCACACAGAAACGACACAAAAGCAAAACACAAATCTAACTTTTTTTAGTTTGAAAAAATAAAACACAAACAAAACATATTGATGAAATTAATTCAGTAAAAATCAAATAAAAAAATGATCAAAATTCAAACATTTTCTTTATGTTTTGTTTTTGTTTTCAACTATCCATTTAGGTACAGAAAAAAATGTCGTAATTTTATTTCGTCCATTCGTGGTCATTCAGTCTATCTTCCGAGTTCGAACTCTTCCTACTTACCTACACGTTTTTAAATTTTATTTTAGTGTGGGTGCAAATGTGGAAATTGAAAAGAAATATTGAAGACGAAGAAGATATACTTATTTTGGGTGCTAATTATATATTATACCTACAATTACAAAGTAAAATTAAATTTAAAAAGATTATAAAAGACGTTTTTGAGTAAGATCAACGTTACAAAAATGAAATTTGTTTGGTTTCGATGATTTTTTAAATAATTTACAAAACRATGTTGTTGGTTTAAATGCAGAATGACGATCTAGCTTTAAAAACTCTTGAGGATGCCAATTGAAGATTCCAAATGTACCAGCGCGTCTGCAACTGTCGTCTGTCAACCCTTGGCCCTTTCTATTCAACAAATATGGTTTAACGGGGATACGAGTTATTATGTCCAAAATGTCTTAAAAATATTTTTAAAAAAATAATAATACTATTTTTTTTTTTACGAAATAACAACAATCACTTATTTGCTAGTCCAATGAAAGACTCACAAGTTACACAAATCATAGAGGCCTGAGGAAACAAATAGAATACTAGATTATAAAATTAACCGAGATGAACCAATTGCAGGCAACTAACCAATAAAATTTGTACCTAATTTGTAAACGAACCAGTGAACATTTTGCCTGTGCCTAATAAAACCTGGAATAACACCATATAGGCACGTGAGGTTAAGCATATTTTTTTAAACATTGATTAAAATAACCATGACAGTTTTTATACATAAGATATGTGTTTATGACAACATAATTGAAATAATAATTAAAAATAATTGACAAAAGATACAAACATTACAAACATAGGTATTTTTAACGACAATTGTTTAACATAGCTGGCAGTACATAAGCTAGTAAAATGTAAAATTGTGATAAATAAAATGTCCACGTATAAAGTTTTCAAATTTGTTGGTGTAGGCCTCTCAGTTTACCATAAACCTTTTTAAATCTGGGACTCAGTCTAACTAAACAGAAGGTGTTAGTATAGGATTCGGTTTACTAACTCCGAAGAAACAACTTGAAAACAGATGAACATTAAAAGTTTTAGTAAGTATAAGTATATAACGGATACCTATACCGCATAGTCGTATAGGTACTATGATATAGGCAGTAGCACTTAAGCACTAATCTTTTTGATATAGGTAGTAGTATATATGATATATCGCAAATAACAACATATGTTGTTGTATGGTATATACCATTTTTTTTTAATAATCGTTAACTGCACATTGTTTGTTTGTGTTATTGTAAAGATTCTTAATCATATTTATTTATTGTAATTTATAGGATTCTGCCATTCTATATACCTATATATAATTAGATGAACATTATTATGTTTGTATATAGTCGACTAAATATTAATAATTAAATATTTTACACAATTTAATTGGTCTTTACAGCCATTAGGTAGTAATCTAAACTATAATATTATAAAGAGAAAAGATTTAATTGTTTGTATTGGATAGGCTCCGAAACTACTGAACCGATTTAAATTAAATTTGGTACATAGAGAAAAAACATAGGTTGCTATTGGTTTCAAATCTAAGGTGGATTATTTATTCATTGTAACTTTTCATTATTGTTTTCGCATTATTCATTTCGCGTTTTCGAATTATTGTAAATTTGTAAATCCACAAGA